GCCCGCCGCACCCGCCCCGCCACGCCCGGGCGCGAAGGGAGGAGCGGCGCCGCTCCAAGGCGGCAGAGCCGCAGCTGTGGGCGGTGCGGAGCGGCGCTTCCCGTGGGGCGGGGGGTCAGGCAGCGCGCAGGGCAGCCCCGCGCGGGGTCCTGGGGCCGGACGGGTTACCGGGAGTGCGGAGGCGGAAGGGGAAGAGGAACGGGAATGAGAATGGAAACGGGAATGGAAACGGGAATGGAAGAGGAAAAGGGTTCGGCCCCGCGTCCCTCACAGCGGCGGGGAAGGGGAAAACGGGCTCTGAATGTCTCTTCCTTGGTGGCCACAGCGCACTACTCGGCTTGTGGCCCCGCGTGACGTCACTTCGGTGACGGGTCTGTGGCCGCCAGCCGTCAGGTCCGGGCGGGGCCCTCAGATGTCACCGTGATAAAACACTGGGGGTAACGGTGGCTGAACACCAAATTACTGCCTAAGTGGTGGTTTAATAGGCGCCCATTGTTGTGCCAGTTCTGGGCTCCGCAGTGTAAGGGGGACAARGRGCTACTGCACAGGGTCCGGCGGAGGCCACAGAGATGAGGAGGGCTCGGGAGCATCTCTCGTATGAGGAGACACTGCGGGAGCTGGGCCTGTTTAGTCTGGAGAAGACTGAGAGGGATTCTCATTAATGCATATAAATATCTCCAAGGCCAAGAGGATGGTACAGGGCTCATTTCAGTGGTGCTGACCGGCAAAACAATGGCAATGAAATAAAACACAAGGGATCACCTCAAATGAGGAAGAGCTTCTTTACRTCGAGGGTGGCAAAACACTGGAGCAGGCTGCTCACAGAGTGTCCCTCTCTGCAAACATTCAAAACACACCTGGATGTGTTCCTGTGCCACCTGCTCCAGGTGACCATGTCTTGGCAGGAGGGTTGGTCTCCAGAGGTGCCTTCCAACCCCACCTATTCTGTGTTTCTGTGATTCTATGTGTTTTCTAGTCAAAATTTGGTCTCTCTGCCCTCCTGCCCAGTCAGTCTTCCCACCTGGTCATCCAAGGATATTTTACAGTGGTGAATTTAGTGGCACAAATCTCTCAGATTTGTTGGAAATGCTCCCTGCCTGCGTGTCTGGGCACAGTATCGCCTCCTGGGCAACTCTGAGCAGGATAAAAAGCTGGCACAGCACAGAGCTGCAGAGTGAGAATCCTGTGTTTATTTTACATTTTGAACCCAGGTTCTGACAGAAGCTTTTTCTTTGGGTTTGGTTAAGCCTTTACAGCCCTCTAGGCTTAGAACAAGCCCTCAGCAATATTGGACTGTGACAGCAGGCACAGGCCTGGGTGTGCATAATGAGATTATTCAGCTGCTAAAGTCCCTTTTTATTCAGAGGCAAGAGTCGGCCCCAAGAGAAGACACTGTTTATTGATGCAGAGTTTAGGTGTGCTCTGCCAGCTGGTACAGGACTAGACAGGTTTGTTTTTTGTTTTTTTTTTTCCAGGGAGGAGCTCTCCTCCCTGCAGTTTAACTTCCTTGCTCATTTTGCAGACATGTCTAAAAATCTCTGGACAAATCTGAAAGGATGGAGTCGTGCTTGCTATTGACACAGATCATTCATGAGTCCCTGCTCACAAAGATCTCATCTGCTTGCCAAAAGATCTTGTTTTAAGAGTTGATTAAACTGATTCACTGGAGTGCAGAAGATCCATGGGCAAAATACAGTAAAAAGGGGGAGGGAAAATCCATGTATGTCAGTGTTGGCACTTCATTTTCCAAAGGCGCCAATCCATTGGCATGTCAATGGGTGCTTTGGATCACTCTTTTTAGGGGGGATTAAGTTATATTTGGGTTAAGTATCAGTGGCACTGGCATTACATCAAGAGATGTTTGCTTATTTTCTTTTGAAGCACGATTCTGCTCTCTCTAACATGAAGAAAAAGCACGATCACTACAATTTTGAAAGGAAAGCAAAAGCTTCTCTGTTTATACCAYACTCCCACATGTTGGAACTGTCTCTTGCAAAGGCCATTCAAGCAAATCTTGGTTTACCTTTGGTAACTCAGGAAACTTTTCCTCCTAAAGTACCTGTTTCMTGTGTGCACATACTAATCAAGCTTTTCTACTGGTTTACCAAAACCAAAACCATGTAGATGTCGTTTCAAAAATGTCAGACATACAGCATGTCTTTAATGCCTGAAACTCTTTTCCCCAACTATTTTCCTCAATTACTGGCACCAAATTTGCACACAGTATTCAGATTGTGCCAAATACTGGCCTAATGTAGAATCTGTAGGTGTCCTCACTATTTCCTTGTAGCCAAATCCAGCAAATTATCTTTGCCTAATGAGCGGATATTCACATAACTTTTTTAGCCCAGTCTGWTTTTTTCTCATGATTTTTKGAGATTATTTATAGCCACTGTTTCCTGGAAAGGAGCTACATTTTAGTGTGCATATTCTTCTAATGTGTACAAGCTTTCACCTCATYCTGTTAAAATGAATCATGTTTGGTTATCTCCATCTTGACACTCAGCTTTAASGTAACCTTTCTTCACCACTTACCTCCAGCTGACAAACTTTATCCGCACTCAAGGTGTGGGCAGTATTTTTGGGTTGATGTAACTATTAAAGTGACAATGGGGATAATTCCTTTAGAAATACCCCCAATGCTGCTGATTTTCTATTCTGCTAGGTAGTCAAGACACTTACTATTTTGTATATACAGCCTTGGTTTTGTAGCATTTCTGGTTTATTTTAGTGAGAACATCATGTAGTACTGAACCAACCTTGTACACAAGTGTTCTCTAGGAAGGCTTTGTGCCAGAAGAGCCAAGCTGGGAGAGTCACTTTTCATACACCCTCAGCAGAGGTGTTTCTGCTGGCACAGGTACCACCTTCTCMCATTTAGACACGAACCAAAGTCAACAAAACCTTTTTCTTGACCTTTTTACAGCAATGCTTTTGCCACGTGTAATCTTGTCCTACGTAATATGATTTACGCTGGCAAATCTGAAAAGTACATTAAATCTTCACTAACTGGATTTTGATTCATAGAAAAACCTCAACAAGTTGAATTGATGAGATGTATTTCATAAAGACCTGCTTAGACTTTATTAAACTTTTATTAACTTATATATGCAAATATTCCATTAGTTCTCTGAGATCCACATTGTATGACTGAATCATCTCATTGGAGAAACTGGAAAATTTTTTATGTTCAAACTTATTCCTATCAATGTTAATTGGGAAATTTTTGACTAACTGCCTATCTGAAAGCAAAATCACACTGATATCTGTTRTTTGACTTGCTTAAGAACTGTGGAAAAGTATTTCATCATCCTGCAATCTGCCTGCAACATTTGTCTTTTTCCCCAAGCATAGAATGGAAATATTTAACTATATCAACCTTTCTTCCTCTCTACTGTCAACTTCAAAAAACACATAATCTTGCAGCATTATTTTCAAAGTTACTTCATTCTAATTGAAAAAAAAAAAAGTTAATATTCAAAGCCACATTTCTACAGCACTTTACTGTATTTGCCACAGGTCCACTATCCTTCTGTAGCTGTATCCTTTTGCCTTCTTTGCAGTATTAAAGGTCATTTATTTTGATTTTTTTCTCCCAAATTGGCTTTTATAAATATGCATAAACACAAACATATAGGCCTCAAGGAAACAAGCGGCCCTTCTACAAGAACTGTGACTATCACCAAATCCTGGACCAGCTGGTGTGTCAGAACTGATTCAGTTCCAAAACCCAGTTCYACCTGTTCCAAAGGCAAATACAATGGTTTGATTTGGACAGAAAATAYTCTTTGATTTCCTTATTGTGAAGGCAACAAAAGTGCAACCAAGCCTATGGAATTTGCCAGTACCCCAGACTTGCATTCACACAGAGTTTACGGAAAGTTTGAAGTTGGAAGAGACCTTTAAAGATCATCTGGTTCCAACCCCCTGCCATGAGCAGGSAYAYTTCCCACTATTCCAGTGGGTCAGAGCTCCATCCAACCTGTCTTTGGACACCTCCACAGATGGGGGTATCCACAACTTCCCTGGGCTCCCTGTTCTTCTACCTTACATGCTCACAGCAAAGAACATCCTCTGAATATCTAATCTAATCTAATCTAAATCTACACTGTCTTGGTTTGAAGCCATTCCTACTTGTCCTTTCACTACATGCTCTTGTAAAAAATCCTCCATCTGTCTTGCAGGCTCCCTTCATGTACTGGAAGGCCGCAATGAAGTCAACCCATAGCCTTCTCTTCTTCAGGCTGAAGAAGGGTTATCAATTCTCTCAGCCTTTCCTCATAGGAATGCTGCTCCATCTCGCTAATTATCTTGGTGGCCTCCTCTGAATTTGCTCTGACAGGACCCCAGAGCTGGATGCAGCACTGCAGGTGAGGTCTCACCAGAGYAGAGTTGGAACGGACTTCTGGAGATCACCCAGTCCAACTCCCCCTGCCAAGGCAAAGTCACCTGGAGCAGGTGACACAGGAACACATCCAGGTGGRTTTTGGATGTCTCCAGCGAGGGAGACTCCATCACATCCCTGAACTGGCCTGTCCCAGTGCTCTGCCACTCTCAATGGAAAGTTCTTCCTCATGTTAAGGTGGAACTTCTTGGGTTTTGTTTTATAGCCATTACTCCTGGTCCTGTCGCTGACCACTGCTGAAGAGTCTGGCACCAACTTCTTGGCACCTGCCTTAGAAATATCTATGTGCATTGATGCGGTCTCCTATCAGTCATCTCTGGGAGACCCAGCTCCCGCAGTGTCTCCTCATACGAGAGATGCTCCAGAGCCCTCCTCATCTCGGCGGCCTCCACTGGACCCTGTGCAGTAGCTCCTTGTCTCCCTTGTACTGAGGAGCCCAGAACCGGGCACAGCACTCCAGATGTCCCTCGCTCGCAGCCCAGGACACCACTCCCCTTCCCGTTCGTTCGGCACTGCAGGAGTCCCTGAGGGGCCCCGCTGCGGGCGCCGCCCCCGGGGCTCGGGGCGGGTCCGGGGGCGGTGGCGGCGGCGGGGGCAGCGCGGCCATGGCCATGGCGGCGGTGGCGGGGGCTCGGGCCGTGCACTGCGCGCTCTGCCGGGGCGGCCCGAGGCGCTGGTACCGCACCGAGCGCGGCGTCTACGGCTACAAACCCCGCAAAGCGGCGGGCGGGCGGGCGGCGGAGCAGCGCGGCGCCGGCAGAGCAGGTCGGACACCCCCGGACGGAGGGAGCGCGGTGGGGGCTGCCCCGCAGCGGGGCCCGAGCACGGAGCGGGCGCTCCGAGGAGTTGCGTGTGTTGTTCCCGGCGGGGCAAAGCGCGGCGCAGACCCGCTCCGAGAGCTCTTGGCTTGCTTTCTGGAAGCCTGGAGTGCTGGCCCCGTTCCACGGGCTGAAGCGGCTCTGAGAGCACCGGCTGCTGAAGTTTGTTCAGCGATGAGCTCTTGGAGAGTTCWGCTGTCCATAGAAGTACCTCTGCCACGCACCTGTCATTTTCCTTTTMTATCGTGGTGCTTGAACTAGCCAAAACTGAGGGTGGTGGGACGCTGGAACAGGTTRCCCAGGGATGTTGTGGATACCCCAACCCTGCCGGTGTTCAAAGCCAGACTGGATAAAGCTTTGTTAAAGCCTGGTTTAGTGGGAGGTGTCCCTATCCATGGCAGAGGGGTTGGGACTGGGTGATCTTTAAAGTCCCTTCCAAACCCTTTACATTCTAGGATTCTGTTACTAAACACAGGTAACTATCTCCTGTAGCAATAACTGTGTTGCTTTTAGCTCAGTTTTATAGTGCAGAAATATTYTTTCAAGCAGAAGACTTTCTGAGGTAGGAGTGTCGTCSTTGCATTACCTTTACACTGGAAACTGTGGTAGGAATTAAACTCTTTGCCCAGAGGCAGGAGTGAAACCAGTTTGTAACTCCTGGACACTGAGGCCCATCACAAAGCAGCTTTCTTGTTAATGATTAACATTTTTCTATGTAACATTTTAAAAATTGCTTTTAAATGTCCTGCTTGCTGAGTGAGCATAGCAGGTGATGTTAGTCTTATGTCTGGGTTATATCCCTCTGTTCTAGAACCCAGAAGAGAAAAGAGCTTGCTTTGAGTGGGCCACTGTAATTGTAAGGGCTGGAGCAGTGTTGGCAATAGAAATACAAATGTCAGAGAAATAACTTTGTGAAATGGTCTCAGAATTGCTTTGGAAAACAAAAGCYTTCAGTCCTGAGTACTGTCAGTGCTGCATTTTTACTAGGATGAAAAACCCCTCCACATTAGGAATGCTTTATAGACTGGTTCAGATAATTAATTTGTAACAGATTCTGCTTGCAGTATGTTTTATTGTTTGCAGTTTATCAGCCCGGTCTGTGGCTGTGTTCAGTGACAGTGATGTGTGTGATRTCTCAGCTGGTCAAGTTCTGTCTATGTCAATAATTGTTACCACTTTTGGCTCAGCACATGCTCTTGGCTCCTGCATACAGACTTTTGGTTTTTTTTGGTGTCATGAGACCTGAATTATTGTTAAGACCCAATCCTCCTGTCATTCCAGGAAGGAACAAGGAAGCATAAGTGATAGGATTGAGTTGGCTTAGGAAATAAGACTTCATACACTGATAACGTGCTGTTCTTGAGATGCACATACCTGTTGTAAARAGATTTGAAGCAAAGTGAAATAGCTTTGCATATGTTTACAGGAACCTGACTTATGAGAGGAGCTGTGGCGGAAAACTAGAGTGAATTTGCTTGAAAATTGGATAGGGGAGCAGATTTAGCAGCTTGTTGATGGGAATTGTAGGGTAATAAGGTGGAAACAACTACACAGAAAAGCTCTCTTTCCAGCGAGAACCTTGATGGTTGCCAGTGGACAAAACATTCCTGTTGGTGCTATAAGTGGATTTAATCTGAACATGTGTGTGATACTGTTCTGCTTTATTTTTGGTTTTAGTTGACCATGCTCTTGCTCGTTTAWTAACTGCATATGCAGAACATGGCCACAAAGCAGCCAAAATAAACCCTCTKTTTGCTGGCCGAGCTGTTATGAACATGGTACCTGAAATCCAACGGCTGGCTGAAGKTCTTCAGGGTCCTCTTGTAACTACAGGTGAGTCCACAGTCTTATCACAGCAAATTCTGTTCATGAGTGATTTATTGAGAGGCCATGGTCTCTGTGGAAGAGTCAGATATTGAGCGATGGCTCAGTCAGTAATGAACTGTTTGACAGAAAATTGTCAACTTCAGCCTGTATATATCTGCTCTAGAAATCATAGTGTAGTGAGAGGCTGCCTTCTMGCATCTTTGGAAACCATGAAAATTTGTACTTGTTCTTACAGCTAGTGGGGTTAAACATTAATTTCTTGTGTTACTGTAGCATTCTGTGATTTACCATAATATTTAACACTGCAGTAAAGGTTTCAAAGTACAGAGGCAGAAGTCARGAATTGTCTTTTCTTGGCTCTCTTAGTGTCTTGCTCTGCCCTTAAACAAAGGAGGGGGGTCTCTCTCAATGCTTTRTTTTCTCCAAAACAGGCTTTAGTGTTTTCTCCTCCTACCCCAAAGTGACTAAAAACATTTATTTCCCACCAGGACTTATAAACATGGGAAAAGAGGAGGCTTCCGTAGAGGATGTGATGGCTTACCTTGACCATATATAYTGCGGGCATATTTCCATCGAAACAAGCCAGCTGCCAAATTTGGAGGAGAGAGAATGGTTTGCTAAAAGGTTTGAAGAGCTAAAGCAAGAAGCATTTACACCTGAAGAGAAAAAGCACTTGTGCAAACTGATGCTGGAGTCCCAGGTACCTTGTTYCCTGTTATTGGATTGCAATAGTCATGGAGTCTGTCATGGATTCTTTGCTATTCTGGACATGATTCATGCAGAAAAAAAAAACAATCACTGTCCTGAAAGGCTTGGCCAGTGCGCAGGAGGAAGAAGTACAAGGTTTTGCCTAAAGCAGTGCAGTGCAGGAATCTCATTGGAGTTTGTTGCTGAATTTACTTAGCASCCATTACTGAAATAGTGATGCTATAAACCCATGAATAATCAGTCTTCAAAAGTGAGATACTCTTAGACTAATAATCTTACAGGGGACATTAAATGTTACTGATGGGAACACAAGGTTGAGCAGAACTCTAAAATCTTGTCCTTTGGGTTAGCTGTTCTGTGTATTCCTCTTGCTGTCATGCTGGTCTGTTTTACTGTCTTTAAAATATGCTGTCTTTCAAGGTTTTGGGAGAACAAATCAGAGTTGGACTGAGGTGTTACCATATAGCACTGGCAAATATGGTGCTTTTCAGCAAGGAACCTTTGTTCATTGCTTTCTGTAAGGAAGTGAAATATTTATGTACTTTTGAAATGTATAGAGAAAATTTATTTCAATACTTCTGTACTGTGCAAAGTTTTAATATTTTTCCCCTTTTCTTCCCATGCTATCCAGAAGGATTGAAAGGTAGAAGAGCAGGATCTGTGAAGGTTGGAAAGGTAGAAGAGCAGGATCTGTGAAAGTGTCCCTGTTTCCAGTTTTCCAAGTGGAAGGAGTGTTAAATGCAATATTTACCAGTGACTAAACAGAAGTGTATGGCCCATTTTGTATTTTTTGTTGCCTCTTTGGCAGTTAGAGGAATTTGATGGTGACAAAACAGGTTGATACTGTGACCATGATGTGCCCTACTTTGATTTCAGTGTGGCCATAACTATACTAAGAGTGTAGAATTTAACCCTGACAGAAAAAACTGCTTTTATATTTGATTGGTTTTGTGTACATTATTCCTTAGAACTGAGTGTTGCTCAGCCAGCAGTTGGCTCAGATCTTTGGGTATGGCTTAACCTTTTTTGTTACAGACTCCATTTACTTTCAGTCTTCAGCTGGAAAATACTACAGAAATTTCCAGTGTTTCCAAAACTTGGTCACKTTTTAGAGCTTTCTAGGAAGGGGTGAATGGAGTGAAGTGAGAAGAAAATGAAGACAATACAGATTTGTTTCTTTTTCTTCTCTCAAGCATTCTACCTATGTACAAAGGACTGTGCCTAATATAAATCAAAATAAAGCACTSATTTGCTAGCACTTTGTATCTCAAGGTAGTTATGGTTTATTCTATAAAAGAACACCATTCCTTAATTTCCACATAAAACAGGTAAAGAAATTTTCTAATTGCTCTAGTGTAACAGTTCTTCTTGAAGCACCTTCCATTTTAGGCAGAGAAAGTTTCAACCTCAATGCAACATTTTTCTACTTAGGAGGAGATAAGAGCTGTTTTTTTATAATTGTCATAGCTTCTGGTCTCAGACTGTGTGGGTGGAGAGTGAGCTGAGACTTTCCTGGGGTGTGTTTAGATTTGTATGCCTCAAAGGTATAAACATAAATTATATTTCAATTTTGTAAACAGRAATCTGCTGCTTAAAACAGCCTAATACTGAAGTTCTCCTGTTTTTAATAGGAGTTTGATCACTTCTTGGCCACCAAGTTTGCCACAGTGAAGAGATATGGTGGTGAAGGAGCAGAGAGCATGATGGGCTTCTTCCATGAGCTGTTCAAGATGTGTGCSTACAGCGGGGTCACGGATATCATCATTGGAATGCCTCATCGGGGCAGACTTAATCTGCTYGCGGGCTTACTTCAGCTTCCTCCTGAGGTGAGAGATTTAGAATCTCATGGGAAGTTGTCTGGTGTGTTTGCAGTAAAATAAACCCCYGAAAGCTTGCCATGTTGTAAAAGCTGGAGCAATAAAAAAGTTACCTATGTGAGAGTGTTCTCTCTTCCTACCAACACTTCAGCGAACTGTCTGCAGGAGACTGTTAAAAGAACTCTAATGAAGGGTTTTATGTGCTGTTACTTGGAAGCATCCTTGCAATTTCAGGAGTAGGAGAGTGTTTTTCTGTCAACATGTCAAGGAATCAGAAAAGAGTTTTTAACAAATCTGTTTCCATGCAGCTCATGTTCCGCAAGATGCGTGGTTTGAGTGAGTTYCCAGAGAATTCAGCAGCCATTGGGGATGTTCTCTCCCACCTGACATCTTCTGTAGATCTCGACTTTGGCTCCCACAGACCAGTGCACGTCACCTTGCTCCCCAACCCCTCACACTTAGAAGCCATCAACCCAGTGGCTGTGGGCAAGACACGAGCAAGGCAACAGACTCTGCTCGATGGAGATTACTCCCCAGAGAGCTCTGCACAGCCTGGGGACAAAGTTATTTGCCTGCAGGTATTTTGCTCACAATTTGTAATTGATGTTTGTAAGACTTGCTGGACTAGAATGTGAACAGGAGTGTACCTAGAAATACCAAACAAAACTGAGCTAATGTGTAATGTCAAGAACTGGGATCCTCTTYGTGGGGAAAGAGGAGGGCAAGGAAGATTTCCAGGTGGCAAATGTGATGATTGGCATTTAAACAATTGCACTGCTAAGATTTCTGAATAACTGATTCTGGTATCTTCCTTTATTTTAATAATATTTTGYATTGAGAGCCATGGGTGCCTTCCCTCACTTTTGCATTTAAAACACTGGAAGCCTGCTTTCAAATTAATGAGTTTGGAGAAGAGCTGTCAACAAGGCTGTGAAATGTTCAGGAATATTTAGAATTTTGTCATTTTGTCATAGTACTGTTGAAGACTCTTCTGGAATTAGTTTTTACTTCTTGAGCTGACTTGTACAGCTGTAGAAGCAATCCTAAATAGTTCCTTGATAAGTTTTCTTCTTTTGCATTGAATTCAACATGGAAAAACAAATGAGTCAATGTCTTCACATTTTAAAGCCAGGGGCAAAAGAGGGTTGGGCAGAAATGTTCTGTAAAGTATAATAAACATGGAGGAAGTTACATGTAGAAGTTAAAAAGTTTTCCAGTTAAAAAGAAGTCTTGCTTCCTTCTGGAAGGGTATAGATATTGTGAAAAAGCAGAAATGAGAATACAAAATATTATGGGCAAGTTTGGGTTCTAGTTTTTTGTTTAAAAAAAAAAGGCTTTAGTGCTCGCAAGTGCAGGCAACTTCTGCAGCTCAATGTGTCTCAATCTTTCASTGCAGTTACATTTTTGTTTGGGAAGATACTATTGTTTCTTTCTCATAATGTTACATCTTCACCACGTAGTAATGAAAGTGTTAGAACTCTTTAAACAAAGATTTTTCAGGATAAGAGGACCCTCCATATCAAAGAAAAATTTAACTTTTTAGGGGTAGGTGGTTAGGAGAATTGCATAGTACGGAAGAGAAACATTAAATTCTGAGCTAGATCCCTCAACGTTAGTAAACTGATTCAAAATATCATCTGACATGAACATCATTACTTTTGATTGTGTCTTTAAGAGGTTCAAGAGTTAGATGGAGAAGAGGCAATTTTTAGATTTAAATGTTAACTGTTCTCATTCACCTAATTGAGAAGAAAGAGATGGAAGCAGGCACTTTGTGTTTCAGAACCTTGATTTGGAAGTTTCTCTTTGGACTTTCTGTTTTTACAGTGCTTTCTTTTGAGAAATATGTGTAGATGCTCTRAATTGAGGTTTATACTGGCATTTGCTCTATTCTTAACAAACCTCTGTGCCTGAGCTTGAGGGGAGAATGTGTAAAGATGAGTTAAGGTGCCATTGTCAACAGTGAGCCTCATTGTACAGAGTCTGAAGGTCTTCTTTTCTGGAACTTCAGTGTGCTCAGAATTTATTGAGATTATAAAACTCTTCTCAGTTAACTACCATGGACATGTCTGCAGTGCTTAATAGTCCATCTCTGCTGGAGGGTGGCTTATTTTTGACCCTCTCACATACTTTARCGCTGCTTCCTGGTCATCAGACAACTACTGATGTTTATGATTTGACCTGATAYCTGCAAATAAGATCTCCCAGAAATAAATTCCACTCTCAGAGTSACTGTTTGGTGAATTAAACTTGACAATGACCTTGTTTTTAGCTTTTTGCTAATGCAGCCCAGAAAAAAAATGCCCTTGCAAAAACTGTCTCCACCTTTTTGGTAGAATGAGTAAAATCCTTCCTGCACCGTAGTAATTGAAACCTCTGTGGTTTGAAATGCATATGAAGAGTCTTGTGAAGCTGGGTAGTCACAGTGTCTGTAGGCTTAATGCTTTGGGATATACTGAAGGCCACAAAGTTCTCTCAGATGTTTTAGGTAGGTTTCAGTAGGAAAGTACATCAGTCTGCATAGTGACTTTACTCTGCAAATGATTGAGTCTGTATTCTGAGGAAGCTGTGGTCATATTCATCAATGAAGAACTGTCTCTAATTTCAAAACACTGAAATACTAGATGATACTCACTGCAGTATCTCTAGCCTTTTTAGAAACCTGGGTTGGAAATCATGCTATTCTCYGTTCCCCTTCCAAACTTATTTTTTTATTTGAAACATTTATTTGCTATTGCTATTTTGAAACATAATCTAAGAATTTAGGTTTTATTTCCTTCTGAAAGTTTTTATTTGTTTTTGAGTGCTTCCATTCGATTCACTTTCCACTTCTTTTTCTGTTCTTGTCTGTTTGGTAAGGTGGAAATGGGCATAAGTCCCAGTTCACCATTTAACTTCAGCAAAGGTGTAGTGAATGCTGTGGTGAGTGGCTCCCTTTGTTCAGTGGTCAGAATCTTGCCTCTAACTGATGCAGTTTTGCCATAGCCAGAATATTTGCAGTCATTGGTGGGTCAGTTTTAAGAGATTATAGGTCAGTTCCAGGTAGGGATTCCATCAGGCAGTCATGTACATATGTACATAGTCAGGTACCTCAGGCTGCTATGACCTTGTATTAGTGATAAGGACATAAGGCTATACAAACTCTCAAGTCATGGAAGCAGTATTCTGAGAGAGATTGTGAAGTAGGTCCAGCTGGAACTGTATCTGTTCCACATACTCAGTTTAGAAGGTCTTGCTTAATGAGTTATGGTTTTGATTTTGCTGTTCCTCTTGTGTTTCCTAATGAGACTTTTCTGTCTTCTTCCTTGACRTAGGTTCATGGCGATGCTGCTTTCTCTGGGCAAGGGATTGTTCCTGAAACACTGACCCTCTCTAATCTGCCACATTTCAGAGTTGGTGGGAGCATCCATTTGATTGTTAATAACCAGCTGGGCTATACCACCCCTCCAGAGCGAGGAAGGTCGTCTCTGTACTGCAGTGACATTGGTACGTAGGGTTGAATCATAAGGAAGATTGCTTGTTGTGTCAGAAAGGATTTTTAACTCCAGTGTAAGTTGTGCAATAGTCTTTTTATAGCAACTGCCTGTCAGCTTTAGGGAGAGATTTATATAGATTGATATATCAAACTCCAGTCTACTCATGGTAGAGTAGAAGTTAAAATTATTATCGATTATTCCCTCCTACTAGCAACAATTCAGATGCTAAAAATATGGCCTCCCMTTTCTGCTTTATGACAAAGTCTAAATATCAAGGGAAAATCTTGTCACATTTTTACAGGATGTGATAAAATAATTGCAAGATTGCTGTGAAGGCTTTATAACTCATTTAGTTTCTGTCATATTATTGACAGCTTCTAAAAATGTTTTGCAATGGAGTATATAGCAGATGTGTTTTAAATATATCTTGTAAAATTTCATATCATCCCAGTGCATTTTCTGAACAAGATTTATAGATCAGATACTCCTCCATTTTTGCTTTTTTGTTTTGGGCTGATCTTTCTTAGTGATAAGCAGATGTATTAAGATCAGAAACATAGTAGTTACGTATGTATATATCTTGTATATGTTTCYTCTAAGTAAAAACATACTTTCGTATGCTTTTAAGACCTAACATCAAATGTTTGTCTTATGGTTTCATCAACYCAAACACATAGATTCATTCAATCTGATAAAGTAGATAACATATGCTATTACTAATTTTTCCCYGGGCTGGTTTTGTGCTATGGATTGGTTTGTTTTGTTTTTTTGCCTCCCTCCTTAGTTTTCCTTTCTTCTTACCTGTCATGGGGAGGGGCTGTTATTAGCTCAATTTTAGTATTTTGCTAGGASGGAAACTTTACATGAGCTAGGAATGGCTGAAGTATCTTAGTTTCCCARAATTTGACAGATAAAGTACAAAAAGAGCGCTTTTATTTGTCATACAGGAGAGGGTTTTAAGATACTGAAATTTTACAGTGCTTTCTTTAATGAAGAGACTTCTCTACCTGGATGAGCARTGGGCAGAATGATAATAAGGGAGAAATCTACTAGTATGGGAGAAAGTTGTTTTTGGCCGGTATGAATTAATAGTAGTTTAGGATAAGAAGGAAATAAAACTCTTATTTTTGTTTGAAAGAAAAGCAATCAAGYAGTTCTCTACCATTCCCTGTACACAACCAGATTAATATGATGCAGGAACTGTGTACAAAATGTCCTGTGGGAATAAAGTGCATGTAAAGACATTGTGCTCAAACTCACAAATACAACAGACTGGGCTAATTGCACTTTCTCTCAGGGGAGACTCCTCTCTTTACTCCAGCTCTCATCACAAAGACCATCTCTTTTGGATTGGTTTTTATTATATTTACTTCACATGGGTTGTCTGTAGTTTCATCAGAGCATGTGTGTGCCTGCTTTCTTTGGAAGGGGTTGGGTGTGTTTACTGTTCWGTTTTGAATCCCTGGGCAGGTAAAATCGTTGGCTGTGCAGTTATCCATGTGAATGGGGATGATCCTGAGGAAGTTGTCCGTGCCACACGACTGGCTGTGGAGTACCAGCGCCAGTTCCGCAGGGATGTGATCGTGGACCTGTTGTGCTACAGGCAGTGGGGCCACAATGAGCTTGATGAGCCCTTCTTCACCAACCCCAGCATGTACAAAATCATCAGGTGAGGGTTGTACCACCTCATAGGGAGCCCAAAATACATCTACACCAACTCAATCTTGCTGCTGTAACAGAAGTCTGTGTGTGAGATCCTCTGCCATATCAACAGGTCTTTATGTAACTGCAGCTACACTTTCAGCAGCCCTTGACTACAGTGTGAGTCTGAAAATGAGATGTTAATGATGGTAATCACTACTGTTGGCTCTTGAATATATGGCTTGATTCCTCTTGGAGAATAATCATGCATACAGCTCWTGGATTTCAAATTCGTGACCACTGCTAACCAGAGGGCAAAGTTGCCTTCTGTGTGCCAAGGGGAAGCGTGGATAACGTGGGAGGATGGGCAGGAAGCCAGCATGATGTTTGTCTTGTCTTTGCCTGGTCCTGCTGCTTCCAGTGGGGACTCATCTTTATAAGCATTGAAATGTATTCCAATGAATACATTGATTCATTGATTCATTCAATGAAATGTATTCAGATTCCATCCTTATCCCCAAAGAAAAACACACAAAAATKCACTTGCCAGTGAATTCTGATGTTTTAGCTGAAGCATTATGGAATGATTGCYTTGATTCTCTCCAGTGCAGAAATCCTATTTTGAATTTCTGTGAAGAAAATATGCATGGTAGCAGAGTGGGGTTTTTGACTTGTTTTCACCTGTAACTGCCAACTATAGCACTTTTTCTTTTATTTTTTTAATAAAGGGCTGTGAAATACGTGTCTAAGAGAACTGTTACCTTTCTGAAAATGCCAGGAAAGTGAACTTCATGCAAATAAGTATAAAGCAGCATGATATTGTTGATATGAGTTTTCCATAGTACTTGACTGTAGTAAGATGGTATTTCCTTGTTCTCCTGTGACACTGTTTTTAGGTTTAATGTCTAWGGGGTTTGATTCCCTCCCTGACAGATCCCGTAAGAGTATCCCRGACACATACGCAGAACACCTCACCGCTGCTGGGCTCATGACTGAGGCTGAAGTGTCTGAGATAAAGACCACGTACTATTCTAAGCTGAATGATCACCTTGCCAACATGACTTCATACAGTCCACCTCCTACCAACCTGCAGGCTCACTGGAAAGGCTTCGTCGAGCCTTCTGCCAAAATCACCACCTGGGACACAGGGATGCCTGTGCCACTTCTGCAGTTCATTGGAGTCAAGTCTGTGGARGTGCCTGAAGAGCTCCAGATGCACAGCCATCTCCTGAAGACCTATGCACAGGTGAGTAGAGCATCATGATGCTTCTGACCCCATGGCTTAAAGGTACAACCTGTTACAGGGAAAAGCAGGGTTGCCAGTTAGAGAATAGCATGGTATTCTTGAGGAAAAATAGCTCACTCTGTTTCAAGGCTGAGATTATGCCMTTTTTTATCCAGTTTTGAAGAAAGGCTTCTTCCCCCCATATACTTTAGTTTGTTATTCCAACAATATTTTATTGCAATGAAGAAAAAATCTTAYAGAAAATACTGTTTATTATTCTTACAAATAGAAAAAACCTATTGTGATTAACTTACTAACATTTATGTAGTTGGTAATTAGAATGAGTACTTKGTGAGGGAATGACTCAGAAACCTGAGGCAATAACATACAGTTTCTAAAGCCAGTAGTGAGTGTTTTATGGCTTAGATATATAAACATCAGACAACATGTGGCCAAGTTTGACAGTCAGGGTTTGATAGCTCCTAAGTTTGTGTTTGGTTTGGATCCATTTGGGGTTTGTGAATGTTTTGCTTCGATGGATGATGAGTGTGTGCAGGTGTCTGCCTGGCAGCCAGAGTGAGGCTGTGAGCTGAGTATTTCAAAAGAYTGATGTTTTTGTCTTCTCAGCCCAAGGCAAGAACTCCACAGCTCAGTGCGATCATTTGTCTGCAGTTCTGCAGGCCAGAACAGGGAAGGGTTCTGGAGACTGAAATACTTACACCTGGTATCTTTCATCACTGCTAACCAGACAAACCAGAAATTTGTGAAGACTATGCTCTGCTGTGCTAATTTTTTTAATATTTTCAGGCTAAGATTAATTCATCAGTCCACAGTTTGTTGACTGAGAGGTGAACACATGGATCATCCATGGTTCTGTGGTCCTCARGCAACCTTCTTCAGAATGTGCTCAAATAACACTCTATATTCCAATCCAGCCTAGGCTGGATGCAGGAATATAACATGTYTCTCCATAGTGTGTTGGGTTTTTCCTAGCTTCTAATATTAGTTTGTGCCACCAAAAGAGCTACAGATGAAAAAAAAAACAAAGTAATTTTTTTTCTTGTTCCTTACTTGTTTAGTCAAGAGTTCAAAAAATGGAGGAAGGAAAAAAGCTGGACTGGGCAACTGCTGAAACTTTAGCATTTGGTTCTCTGTTGAGCCAAGGTAAGAGACAACTAAACAGCAGACAGTAAAATATGTTTGCTTTAATGTCARTAAAGGATAATGTTCGATTTCTTAGGTGTTTCTAAGTGAAAAGATGGATATGATGTGTAAATTTAACAGTTTGCATGGTCTAAGAGGAGGTAAATATGAATWGTATATGTCATTAATATTTGTAGATTGAGCCTTAAATTTATCTTCAAAGACGTGTAGCTCCCTCCCACTTCCCAAAAACATTTGTGCATAGGGCTGAGTATGTGAGCAGTGCAGCTGACATCAGTGGGGCTCCCAAGTACTTTGAGTGCTTTATGCTATTTCTTCTCCTTCCTCTCTAGCCTGAATTCAAATCTCAATTTACAGCTGCTACAGAATGCACATTTTTTTGCAGTTTGCTTCAGTAAATTGWACCATTTTACTCAAAATAATGTCAGAGCATCTGTGTGCTTGCGAGTTGGAGCTGCTGCTGGTTAAGAATTTCATCTCAGATTTGATGTTGCTGATGAGGGGAAATCCAAGAAGAGACATAACAAGMGATAGAATATTTCCTGCATGCTTTCTTTTTACATGATTTGCTGATTTGGTGTTTTGTTTGTTGCTTGGCAAGGGTTTAATATCAGACTAAGTGGACAAGATGTTGGCAGAGGAACCTTTAGCCAACGACATGCAATGTTGGTTTGCCAAGAGACAGATGATACCTACATTCCTCTGAATCAYATGTCACCAGACCAGAAAGGTTTCTTAGAGGTAGGTTCTGTGGTCCACAAGAGCACCTTCTTCAAGTTGAGCTGAAACAGTGCATTTTTTAAAGCTACTTATGTAGGCAGCCTGTATGTTCAAAACCCTGTATGTGCAAACCCCAGATGCAGGGACATAAAAACTGTCAGGGCATCCCCATTCTTTGTTRTTATAAATAATAACTTTACCAAAGGGTTTTGCTTTTCCTTGAGAGATCAGGTATTATTCTTTTCCTCTCATTCAAAAGCAAAAAATCAGTGCCTATCAATTGCCTTTGCGAGTTTGTGTCCACAGTGTGCTTAGCACTGATGGCCGGTTCCAACAGTTCTTAACCCTTGGTTGTTTTCTTCCTCACCCATCCCCACCAACAATTTCCTTTTGTCAGGTGAGTAACAGTCCCTTGTCWGAAGAAGCAGTGCTTGGTTTTGAATATGGAATGAGTATTGAGARCCCTAAGTTACTGCCAATTTGGGAAGCTCAATTTGGAGACTTCTTTAATGGAGCCCAGATAATATTTGACACTTTCATCTCTGGAGGTGAGTGTACAAGAACTAATATATTTAAAAATCAATCATTTGTAACATGCACATTTTTAGAAAATCCTTCCTCTTTCAAGTAAAAGGGCAATGTGTTGTGAAAAGAATTMTTTTCTTAGGGAATCCTATGAGCTTGCCTGTGTGGTCCTGACTTCTGTGTAGCTTTTCTCTGAAGACAGTATATCTAAAATGAAAGGCACCTTATCCTTGGCAGAGTACAGTCATTGCAAAAGGACAGTTAATGATATTAATGGCCTTTTTCCCCTCACATTTATTTTACTGTGTATGGTTGATGTATGGTGCAGGAGGTTGTGGAACTAGCACAGCTGTGTTAGCCAGAACTGCTGCTGGGGTCGCACCTGCAAAGATGAAGTTTTAAAATTTCACYATATCATGCACTGCACATGGAGACTGAAGTCTTCTGTGAGCCCAGAGTTACTTGATGATTTCAGGAACTTCAGTTCACCTCATGTGTGTTGTTTCACTGCAGTAAGCCTCAGGGCAAAATGCYAGCAGCATTATTTCAGGCTTTTATTTAATGAAGTGGAAATTAGCTCTTCTTTTTTTCTTGAGTAGTTTCTGAAAAGTAATGCATTCTGTGGCTTTATGTTCTGTAGAAATCATCCTTTCCTTCCTCTTCATTCTGTGTTTCTAGGTGAGGCCAAGTGGCTTCTGCAGAGTGGGATAGTGATTCTTCTTCCCCATGGCTATGATGGTGCAGGCCCTGAGCACTCGTCCTGCCGGATGGAACGGTTCTTACAGGTACCCACCACACCTCTCAGGGTCACACAGCCCCAGCACAGCACTGGCAGTCAGTGCTCTGGGAGCTGTACTGCAAAAACACAAAATGGTGATTCCTGATGCCCTTGTTGCAATGTGCTCAAAGGAGGCAGTTCAGATATAACCCTACCAGTTAAATGCTAAACCCATTTCTTCTCTGAAATGGTTCCTCTCTTGAAATCAGGATCTGAATTTGGATATTTGCTAATCTGTTCCTATACGGGTCATCGTGTCTTATRTGTGTGGATTCTTTCTTGCATATTGGTCTCGCTGGTTGTTTTTGACAAARTATTGCTGCGTTCCCCCTGTATAGATGTGTGACAGCTCAGAAGAGGGAGTTGATGGTGACCAGGTCAACATGTCAGTTGTGCATCCCACCACCCCAGCACAGTATTTCCATTTACTCCGACGTCAAATGGTCCGAAACTTCAGGAAACCTCTCATTGTTGCTTCTCCCAAAGTGTTACTCAGGCTTCCAGTAAGATAAAAAATGTCCTTCCTCTTTCTTTTTTTTTTTTTTTTCTTTATCCTCTTTTTTTTTTTTTTTTTTTCTTTTTTCTTCCTCTGTATTCTCTGATTGCTCTTTTGGTGTCAAATTGGTGTGATTTTGCCAGTTTGGGGCGAAATAAGTTGAGGATTAAAGCTGGATGGAGGTGAGCTAGAAGTAGGGTTCATTCTGGTCTGGTGTTCTTGGGAAGCTTACCATCCCACTTTTCCCTGGGAATGGGAATATGAGGGAGAGAAAAGATTGTGTATTTGTACTTAACAAAACTCTGTCTCAGTGTTCTTTCTGACTCTGGCCTGAGGGAAAAGCAGCAAGATTTGGTAACTTCCAACTCTTCCCCCATGTAGGCTGCTGTATCAAGTTTTGAAGAAATGGCCCCAGGGACAACATTCAAGCCTGTCATTGGTGACTCCTCAGTAGATCCTAAAAGGTAGCTCTGCTTTCTTAGAGGAGAAGCTCAAAAGACATGTCCTGTCCCTTTCTTCTACCCAACAGCTCAAATTAAAAGTGATATGAAAGAGGTGACATTGAGGGAAAATTTATTGTGGTGGATGACTGGGGTTAGTTTTACTTCCTCTCCTTTTCTTCTGGTAAGTTTTGGTAGTTACCACATCTGTCTGCAAAATAGTGAAGTGTTCAGGCCATTAGCCCTCGGCCTCACAGGGWGTTTGTGACTGTAGTTACAACCTCGTGTGTTCTGTTCTGCACCATGGCCACTACCTGACAGTCACTGGGAGCAGCTGTGGCATGAATCACAGAATCATAGATTTGGTTAGGTTGAAAAARACCTTTAAGATCATCAAGTCCAACCTTAGCCCAGCACTTCCAAGTCCCTAAACCTCTCCTGATGCAACCTGAGGCTGTTTCCTCTTGTCCTGTTGTGTGTTACCTGAGAGAAGTGACCAATTTCCACCTGGCTACAACCTCCTTCCAGGGAGCTGTAGAGAGTAAGAAGGTCCCCACTAAGTCTTCTCTTCTCCAGGCTGAGCTCCACGCCAGCTCCCTCAGCTGCTCCTCACAGGACTTGTGTTCCAGACCCTTCCCCAGCTCAGTTCCCTTCTCTGGATACGCTGRAGCACCTTCATGTCTTTCTTGTCATGAGGGACCCAAAATCGAACCCAGAATTTTTGTTTTAGGGCTGGAATGCCTGAGCTGATGAGGTGGGGCAATAACAAAGTATGTGTGTATATATCTCTCCCTTCAGATATTACAGTGAATCCTGTTCACAATGACCATACATTCTGGCCTTCATTTTTTTTTCCCCTTTCTAACTTGCCCCACATCTGGGCCTCCCTCCTGTTTGCTTCCTGACCCCCARTCAAAAGGCTGGAACTATCTTAGCATCTTGGCTTTTTTAAGTGGGATGGTGAGGCACARGGGGTGTAGTTTATCTTGGTTCTTTGTCCAATAAGATTAGGCAGCCAAGACATCTTTGATTGCAGGAGGGTGTAGTGTCTCTGCAGAGGCAGTCCTGCTTTGGTGGAGGGAGAATTGTCCTCTGGACTGTCTTCTCTCCCTCTCTGTTTTATTTTCTACAGAGAGTGCATAGATGACTAGCTTTGACTGAGTGTTCAATTTTCAGATAGTTAAAGCTAAGAGAGATCAATCCCATTGTAAGGTAACTTTCCTAGAATTACTGAAGAAACAGGACCTCTGAGCTCTGGCATACTGTGCCCAAAGGTTAATTTGCCAACTGTTGGAGGGGAGTGGGAGGGAAGGGAAGGCAAAGGAAGAGAAAAGATGGTCTAGGGAAGCAATTTAGCTTTATAAAGTTGTCTTTGAAGTCTGACTGGTTGTTTTTGTTGGAAGTTTGAAGCTGTTCTGCATCAAGGTTTTGTAAAACACTAAACTTGGAAACTTTTTTTTTTAGTGTCACCCAAGTGGTGCTGTGTTCTGGAAAGCATTACTATGCTCTGATGAAGCAAAGAGAAACACTGGGAGAGAAGCAGCACAGCACAGCTATTCTGAGACTTGAAGAGCTCTGTCCTTTCCCCCTGGAAGCTCTACAGCAAGAGCTGAGCAAATACAGCCATGCAAAAGGTCAGCTAGACTTCTACCTTTGTGTTTCTAATCTCTTTGAAGTACTGAACTAAATCTGTTGCCTGCCTTTTAAGATGAAGAGCTGTAGTGGCTTTCTCCTCTTTGTTCTCCCCCTCATATATCCAAGTGTTTCTGGAGTGGGATGTTTCAGAAATGTTTATCACTTGTGCTAAAAGAACTCGTTTCTCTGCTATTGTTAGTTTCCAAGAAGCAGGACTGAAAATTAGACCGAACCATTTGAGATATTTTTTTTGCATTGGTCTTTGAATCCAATCGTTTTAGAAGCTTTTGAAAACAACAGTAGAAAAGCAGAATATACACACAGTATAACCTAATGGTGGACATATTTTGGGATTGAATTCAGCTGTGACCTRAAAGGGAATTGAGTCTGGCATGCCTTGATTTCAAAGATAGTGCCAAGACAAAGAAATAGAGGTGCTACAAAATAAAAAAACCTGGTTTTGTATCTCTGCTAAAAAGATAAATATGTATGTTTGTTATGTACCCTTATCTTTCCTTTAGTCTTCATCTGGAGTCAGGAAGAACCACAGAACATGGGTCCCTGGTCCTTTGTGTCTCCACGGTTTGAAAAACAGCTGGGGCTTAAGGTAAGATGTTCTCAGGGTATTTTAGTCTTTAGAATGAAGTTTGAAGTTCTCCTTGAATGCGAAATTCTATGGTGCTTACAACAAAAACCTAATCCTGATGCCTAAACCAAATGTGTGTTCTAATTTAAGCTACTTRTGCTCTTTATAGCACCATTGGTGATGAGCAGGACTGGAGCTTTATTTTACAYGGTGTTCAGTCMAAGTAGATGGGATAGTGAAAGATAYTACCCTAACCYTCCCAKGYAGGGGAGTAGGAYRAGAATGCAAAGGTGCCRTTTGCTCTGGCAGATGATGCACTGTAATKTCCTTGGAGCTATGGCCTTTGGGAGATGGGGGATAACTTCCTGCATTWCTTCCAGCTGGGACTGCCCAGTATCTGACAGCAGATACTGCCTTGGCTTCAGGACCTTGAGATGTGATTCTTACCTTCATTAATTGTTTCCCCATGACTCAAATTCCAGCCTCGTCTTGTGAGCAGACCTCCTCTACCAGCCCCAGCAGTTGGCATTGGAACTCTCCACAACCAGCAGCAGCAAGATGTTCTGACTCACACGTTTATCTAAGTTTTCAATGGACACACTGCTCCTGATGTCAGTCATGTTTTGTGCCTCCTCCTGTGAAGAAGAGCAAAAGCCAGCTTGTTAAGACTCTTAGTTCTCCAAAATGGAAAGAAAAAAAAAGGTGGAATAAGTTTGGTAATTATGAAGCAATTTTTTGATGTAGGGGAATATCTAATGATGAGAARTGCCTGTTACTCCTGATACATCTTGTTCTCTTATACAATTTTCTACAAAATGTCTTTATATAAAGTTAAAAATCCAGTCCAGGGGACAGATTGGTGAGGTGACTGTGGAATACCTTATATCACACTGCCTGTTTGCACTTGACAGTTTCCTGGGCTGATGCGTGTGTGGAAACAGGTTCTGTTTCTTCTGTTTCCACAGAAGTGTTARTGCTGCTTGATCAAATAAATGCTTCCCCATGCCTGGGAATGAGCCATTTCYATAGCAGAATGTTGTGGATTCTCTTTTTTTCTCCTTGAGGGCCAGGAATGCAATCTGTTGTGGCTGTTGGTGCTCTTCTYCATGCATGAGTTGTTAAAGCAGGATTCCCTTTGGAGGGACCRTGCAGAATGGCTCCTGAACGCTTCAGGCACCAGTGTTTTTCTCACCCTGAGGGTGAGAAATCCCAAGGGAGGGTTTCAGCATTGCTGTCATCTGGATAAAGGAAACAAATCAGTCTTTGCTAGGAAACARAAGGATAAGGACCAAAACATTGAGGTTAAGTGAGAGAATAATGAAGCCAAATGAAAGACAGGCATCCCAGTGTTGACTGCCCCACAGCAGCATTCCCACCACCACCACCACATGATTTTTCCCAGCATTTTCCCTTTCCTGGTTTCAGGGTGAAGTTGGCACSTCCTTGCTCTTCTCAGTTACCTGGGCAAGTAGTGCTTAAGTAATCCAAACTCATTGCGAGTCAGACATTTCTTAAAAGAAACAAGTGGGGTTTAACCAGATTCAGCACTTGCAGATGGAAAGTCATGGTAAGTGAGAAAGGGCAGATCAGAGKCAGGGTGTGCATTCACTTGGGAAGACAGCTCCCAAATCATCTCTGAAGCCTGCTTTAGTATTTCATCCTAGTTAATTCACTTATTCATTCATTCAACTCCATATGACGCAGAAGTAGCCTCTGTAACCCGTGTTCTGTGATGTTTCACATCACTGCTTTAGCACATCCACCACAACATGAAATAATGTTTCTCCCACTTTTCTAGCAAGCTGCACAACCTCCTGCCTATCCTGAACAGCTTTATCTAATCAAGGCATATTCTGCTTTAAATTTCTGCTGATAACTAGAAAAAGGAGGCTGAGGAGTAGYGTTGCTTTGGCTGCAGCTGTAGCCAAATAAGTTGTAGAGCATAATCACCAGCCTTGACTCCACACCGCTGGTTACATAAACCCGCAGATTTTCACTATGACGGTGCAAACAAGTCAAGAACACACCCCATGTTTTGAGTTTCACATGGCCCAAAACTGACCCTGTTATGCACCATTCCCCCACAGGCTGCACAGGTCTGGTTATCCAACTGAGTAAAAGATGCTCAAGTGTTCCGACCCTGTTTGATCCCCCTGGTGGGAGACAAAGCTATTTCTGTAGGGCTGCTCGGCTGAATGCCCCCATCCTGGTGCTGGTGTGCATGAAGCTCCCCAGGGATACTGGGATAGGAAGGGAGAGCTTCAGCACAGCTTTGCTCAGTCAGCTGATGCAGACTGCCTGCAKAACACTGCTCTTGCTTGATGGCTCACAGCTCCCAAGAGCATGGCAAAGCATTTGCTGACTTGGGGGCTAACGCTGTTTCTCCCACCAATTCCGGATGCACACAGGGCTGTTTTCCATCTGTGTGCCTTGCTCTTCTCTGCATGCAGGCTTGGACATCCCTGCACAATGTTGCATTGCTTTTGCTTTGGGGAAAAGAGAAGCAGAATTTAGAATCATAGAACCATAGAATATCCTGAGTTGGAAGGGACCCATAARGATCATTGGCGTCCAGTTCCTGGCCCTGCACAGGACACCCCAAGAGTCACACCGTGTACCTGAGATGCTACACGAGTTGTGAGTGGACAGCAGGTCCAAGTCCTTGGACAGGAAATTCTGTGAGTCATTAACACAAGGAGAAGTGAACTTTTATGTGCTGTTAGATAGCAAGGAGCTAACTAGAAAGAGGGAGTTACAGCATTTGTGCATTGTGGTGTGTCAGGATTTTCAGAGAGAAGTGCAAGACTAGAAAAAGAAAAAAGACATTGAGTGGGCTTTTAGGTTGAGCATTTCATTAAAGGCAGCAGAAACTCTCAGTGACAAAAAGAAAACACCACAGGGAAACAAATATTAAAACAACTATTTTAGTAACAATTACGTTATTTCGATTTAAAAAAATACAGTCTGAACTTTGAAGATGAAAAGTTCTGAACACAGTAGTATTTTGAATAAGCTAAGAAAACAATACTACATTTTGACTTTTTTGCTTCTGTCACCCATTCGTAGGTGACATAGAAACATTTGTTTGGCAATTCTGAAGAGGTGCATCTGTGTCAGTATGGATGGACKGTTTATCCATCACCCAGAGGCCAGTGCCTTAGAGACAGGAGGCTTTGCTAACAAAACCTGTAATTTAATGAACTTCTAAGATAAGTATGGCTAAAAATCAAAATAAAGGGTGACTACAAGAAACTTCCTGAATCTTAGCTACTAACCTAGCTGTTATTTGAGATTATCATCTACAAGAAAACTGCCAGGCCCATTAATTATGGGCATGTCAGACTGTTCAAGAACTCTAGGTTTAAATTATTGCTATGGAGTTGCTCATTAGTATTTGTTAAACTATGACTATATAAAACTGAAAGGAAGAAACTTTTCTAAGTGATTTCAGATAAGGGAAGCTATTGAACAAAGTTGTTTAGGTATTGTAGCAAGGTCTTGGTTAAGAGGGTTTCTTAGGGAATGCAAAGTGCAATTCCAAACTATAGATTCAAAGTTTTGGAGGAGCCCTAATGCTTCACACATTTTGTTTTCTCTTTTGGTAACATAGCCTAGTACAGGAAGAATTCAAGCTAGTGYATAAGATGAGTTAYTCRGAAAGAATAAATACTATTTWAAATAAATATTTAAATAACTTGTATCTAAATCTTCCAATAAATTCTRATAATCCTAATTTTATAGACCACTGGCTGTTGTAACTGAGAGCTCTGTAGGTGTGATGCCTGTTTTGGTGATTGTGGGATGATATTGAAACAGGTTATCAGTTTCATTTCACAGAACCACAAAATCAGTTTGGTTGGAAAAGATCTCGGAGACCATTGGGTCCAACCTATGATCACCACCTTAGCAACCTGACAATGGCACTGTATGCCACATCCATCCCAGGCTTTCCTTAAACACCTCCAGGGACAGTGACTTCACCACCTCCCTGGGCAGCTCGTTCCAATACTGACTCACCCTTCATGTGAAGAAATTCCTCCCAYTGTCCAACCTAAACCTCCCCTGGTGCAGCATGAGGCCATGTCCTCTGGTCCTGGTTCTGGTTGCCTGGGAGATGTGGGTGTTTAGAACCTCCTGTGAGGGAGTTGTAGAGAGTGATAAGGGTCACCCCGAGCCTCCCTTTCTCCAGGATGAATAATCCCAACTCCTTCAGCTGCTCCTCATGGGACTTGCGCTTCAGACCCTTCCCCAATTCTGTTGCCCTTCTCTGGACACGCTCCCGCTCCCCGATGTCCTYTCACCCTGTGAAATGATCACACCCATCTGTCAATACGGGTGGATCAGGCTGTTAATAAAATACATCGGTACCGAACCGCTCAACCTGTGCTTTTCACCTGGTACCGCTGTAACGACCTCACAGAAACGCTGAGGCCCCAGAGGCCCGAGCAGAAGGCGTGAGTGAGGGGCGGGAGCTTCCCGCGCTGGGCAGCGCTGAGGAGGAGCGCTGAGGGGCCGTGCCCGCCCCTGGCGGCGCGCGGAGCACTCCGGGAGCGCGGTCCTTCGCCGCGGCGGCTGCCCGGCCTCAGCCTGATCCCGCCGCGGCCGCCACCGCTCCCCGCCGAGCCCGCCGATCCGGCTCCCCTCGCCTGGGGAAGGGCGCGGGGGGCGCTCCGTCAGGGCGGTACCGCCGCGTCCCCCCGGGCGGGGAGGGGAGGGGACGGGAGGGGAGGGACGGCCCGTCCGCAGCGCGCGTCACGTGACGGCGGCGACAGCGGCGGTGACAGCGCTGGGACCGCGGCCGGGCCGCCACCGCCATGGGCAGTGAGTGCGGACAGAGCCGGGGGGGAGCGCCGGGAGCCGTGGTGGGGGACAGCGGCCCGGGCAGCGCGGGTAGCCCGTGGCCGGTGAGGGGGCGCCGTGGCCCGGGTGCTGCCGCAGCCAGGGCCGGGAGTGCCGGGGCACCCGCCCCCCGCACAGGGTCGGTGCTGCCCGGCACAGAGTGAGGCCGGGCGCTGCTTCACGGCGGGGTGTCTTATTCCACTCTAGCCCTGCTACATATATTTATACACTATATACACCGTATGTAAAGATGTAGTATATATACCCTATATACACGTATATATATGTGTATATAAGTGTCTAGTRGGAGGATGTCAAGAGGATGGATCCATGCTCTGCTCCATGGTGCCTCTCAATAGGACAAGAGGCAGCGGGCAGAAAGTGATGCWCAGGAAGTTCCACCTGAACATGAGGAATAACTTCTGCCCTGGGCAGTGACCGAGCAYTGGAACAGATTGTCCGGAGAGGSTGTGGAGTCTCCCTCACTGGAGATATTCCAGAACGRTCTGGACACARTCCTGTGCCATGTGGTCTGGGGTGGYCCTGCTTGAGCAGGGAGGTTGGAGCAGATGAGCCACTSTGGTTCYTTCCAGCCTGACCCATTCCATGATGCTGTGATACCTTGTTCATGTCGGAGCTGTGCCACCCTCCGTGGAGCGAGGTGCACCTTCCAATGAGCTGTCTGAGAGCTTGGGATAAATAGAGAAAATATGTCACATCAGAGTAAATGTAAACATGGGACTACAACCAAAATGTTACTTACAGTGTAATAAATGCATTCTGCAGTCTAATAAATGCATTCTCTTTGAAGGAGGAACTGATGGTGGTTTCTTAATGTCTGTCCCACTGTATCAGTGCTGGGAATAATGTTCAAGTTTTAGAGGGCAAATTCCTACCAAGCACATATTAGTTGATTTTTTTAACAGATTTCATTTTTCCCCAGAAAAAGAGTGCAAACTGTTGAGTTTTTCTGTGTTTTTAAAGGGTAAACTGGGAAGAGAGATATATTAAAAGCCAAAATAAAATCCCCTGAAGTTCCAATCAGAATAAGTATTCTACTGATTTAAATTACAATTTCTAAACATTTTATCAGTTGAATTATTTTTGCAGCTGAACTCTTCTGTAAAYACAAGATTTTAATCTCTACATGGATACCTTTTGATGACAGTATCGTTTCTGTGTTTAACTAGCACAGACTGRTACTAGGTCATTTATTTTTGGATGGAATGCAATTCAGTTCACTTCTGGTGATACATTCAGTACCACTTCTCTAAAATTATTCCAGCTGTGGAAAGAAGAATGGKCCAAATCTGGTTAGAACAAGAATTCTGTTACACATTTTTGCCCTGATTTCAGCTGTTTTAAGAGAGGATATTAGGTTTCAGACAGTTTTGGAAGCTAAATAAAGTCCTGTGAAGTTATAAAAATTCATAAATGTTCGTTAATATATTTTTCTGTCTTTTGTGTTTGTTTGTTTGTTTTTCCGGAACAGTAAAATTTTTAGAAGTTATTAAGCCTTTCTGTGCAGTGTTACCTGAAATCCAGAAACCGGAAAGAAAAGTGAGTGCCACATTATGTTCTTACTCTTAGTAGTTCATGGAGGAGGGAATATTGTGATGTTCTAATCCAGGCTTTAATATAGATCCAGACAGTCGGCCCTAAAGTAGCACATACTCTTTGGAGCGGGGGGAACACACGTTAAGGTAAAACATTACTGTGATGGTGAATTCTGAGCATCCTTCTGATAAGTTGTTCCCTTTGGTAATTATGGTAACTCCTTTCCCCCCCCCAAATCTCTATTCTAGACTAAGTTTATTTAGTTTCAGCTCCATGTGATCTATTTTAATTCAGAACAGAATCATCAAGCTTTGTTTTCCTGTGGATCCCACTGYTGGTTTTGAGCTCTGTTGTATATTACTTTGAAAAGGATTGTGCTGTAGATCAGAAAATGCAAATTTAATTCTCCCCTTCCTACAAAATATTTTCCTACACCCAYAGCTGTTATTCACCTTGCTGAAGTGAAAAAGTGATCTGTTGTGCAGTTCAGGTAATTGCTCCCTTCATCTTCTGGATGTGATGTTTCTCTTTGATCTAAAATCCATGAACTCAGTTCCTTTACAGCTGATCTCTCTAGTCCTCTAGCCTTTGAAACTCCTCCCATTTCTTAGCACATTTTCTAGATTAAAAATAGAATTAATTTCTACACATCAGGAAGAGACCTGTCTTATCCAAAAAAAAMCCCAACCAAACACCATTCAAAACACAAGCAAACACATATTGCCCAGGTGACAATCAATCTAATTAGAGTTACAAATTGACTTAATATTACCATGATTTCCATGAAAATTCCTTAAGAACTAAGTATTGTTTTTTGTATTCTTAAAAGGAAATRCTTAACTGGGAACATGACGCCATCTGAGACAATCCTCTTTGGTTAATGAGAGGTTCCRAAAAGTTAGGACTGAATGTAGAGATGTTTGTGCCAGTGACCATAGCTGAGCCTGYTGGATTGAATGGAGAAGATATAGTAAAAACTGATGATTGTGGTACCCCAGAATTGATTTTTTAAACTGATTGGGATTTGCCCCCTGGCATTTTGCTCCGTCTGTCTCACCGGGTTGCTTTCCAGCATCTTGGAACAGGTTTCTAAACAAATTATTTAGGTCAGAAAAAGGTGTTTTGAGAGCAGGAATCTCAAGAGCCAGACCTCATGCTAAGGCTTGGGTTCACCAGGTATGAGTGGCATGTGCCCATCCTTTTTTCTGCAGTGAGGAACCTTGGTGCAGTCTTTTGGTGCTGATTTGTGTCACATCTGTTATTGGCTGATCACAGCCACCTCATTTTTGTCCAGTGAGGTGAGTGAGAAGAGAAAGCTGAAACAGTCCTACAGATGCTGATGTTTCTATAAAGCTCACTGGCAAGTGTTACTTGCCGGRGAGGAAGAGGGGCTTGATCTGTCTTTGTCGTCCATCAGCAGATGAAGGATGCCCAGAGAGGTGCCAAGATTCCTGTCCTGTCTATTTGGGTCACTTTGTCTTTACCGCTATCTAGGTCGCTGTCTAGACAATGGCTGCCAGTTGCCAGCTTTTTACAAATTT